AAGAAATTTTGACAAGCAATATCTGAGATTTTGCTGCTTATGCCTCTTTCTAGGATTTTTGTGGTTTTGGATCTAACTGTAGGGGACCAGTTTGTTTCAGTCTGGTAAATGTGACTCAGCTCTGTGTGGAAAACCTACAGAAGCTAAGTGGTGGGCAGGAGCCAGACCTTCAAACCAAGTTTCCCCATGGGATCAGGCCTAGAAAATGCATACAGACTGTTATGGCTTGCTCTGGCTAAAACTCCATCACCCTGGTCTAAAACAAAAATGTTTATTGTCTATCTTCAAGGTAATTTCCAAACCCAGTTTGAATTTTCCCAAGGACAGAGCTAATCAGCTCATCACCATTCTCCTCTGTATGTTATTTTCATTTCCTTAAATGTCCCTCAAATGTAGACAATACTATTCTATGTGATAGATAATAAATCTTTCCTTGATGTAAGACCCAAGAAAAACAATAAAAGCTTATCTAGGCAAGAGTGGAGGCCCTCTCCTCTTGAGAGAGTGGCAGAGGCATTCATAGGCACTCCCCCTTGAGAGAGTAGCTGTGCTCTCCCCTTTTTCTCCACAGGACTGCCCTCTCCTGTGCATTTATTCTCGTCTCCGCCACACCTGGCACCCAGGATCAGGGACCCAGAGGCTATGAGCCATCATTGTGGCCAACACACCAACAGGGCTGGAATGCACACAGCAGCCCAGGTAAGGGGCGGGCGACCCCGAAGACCCCGAGTGCTTTTCGGTAAAGTCGTAGGGTGTGTTGTATTTCAGGGAAAAAGGGTATTTTTCCAAGGTCGCCCTCTCTTGCAACCGCACTCTCTTTACTAAGCAGAAGCCTTGCTTTCTCTCTGTCAGTCGCCACACTTCGCAGGCACAGATCCAGCATTTAAAAGCCACAAGGGCACTCTCTGCAACAAAGCCACCCATGACAGGATTGGTTGCACGTGGGCCAGGAAAGAACACTAGGTTTCCTACCAACTGCAAGCAAAAGCCCACGCAACAAGAGGCACACTGTAAAAAACATTCACAAGCCCATCCCTGTGGCACAATCCCCAATCAGGTTTTAGGCTTGGGAGAGAGAGCAATGAATTTTTCTTTCAATTAGGTTTTTTTCTTACAAGTGCCTCTGTGCACTTTCTTTAAAAGCTGCTTTTTGCAGCCCTTTTGATTCCTGCTTTTCCCTCCACCTGCCAGTAAACAGAAAAGCAGATAATAAATGAGTGTTTCAGTTTCAACTGGACTCCAAAGATTATTTTGAGAACTCAGTGTTAGTTACAGGGTTATTTATGAGTGTCTCAGCTTCTTGCTGAAGTACTGAAGATAAGAGGCATTTCTCACTCTCGCTTGAGATCTCAACATTCCTACATGAGTAGGAGCCTTGCAGAGGTGCCTGGGGTCAATCCCCAAGACTTGCAGGGGCCTCACAGGGAATTCCAATCACAGTAATTTAACTCTCTGCTAGGTCAGGGAGTGCAATATAAACGTTGGTTACATGGGGCTTTGAGCCCCGCTTGCAGTCTTAGGCTCCAGGGAGAAACCTAAAACCCATAAGCAGGGTTAGGGTACCCTGGATACCAGGCAGCCCTCCCTGACAGTTTTCACCAACAGTATATTTTTGACCCACCACACTATACTCCCCAATAGCTAATTAGCTAGGGTTTAGTATGGGCTGGGGAGTCTGAAATGGCAGAAATCAAAAGTAAAAACAGAACTTGTCAACAACAAGAATGGGCTCTCTAATGAACAAGAGCAATGTTTTATGCTGATTCAGCAGTTTTTAAAAGCTGCTAAATATTTCCCTGATAAGGGTTCTTCAGACTTGGTTATTCAGGAAAAAGTTGGGCAGAAGCTGAAACAGGACCAGGTGGTGTGAGATAAAGGCTAGTGTCTCACTCCCTCCTTTAGAGGATTTAATTTGAAAATACTGGTTTGCTTGAATTTTATTTTTATTTTTGTTTTAAAAGTAAGGCCCAAGTCTTAAAATGTTTTAGTAAAAAGAATAAGATATCTAGTGTTGTTACATCATAAGGATTCTACTCAGAAAGAATTTAAATTGATTACATTTTGAAAAAAAAGAAAAAAGCCCTGGCTGGCATAGCTCAGTGGATTGAGCACGGGCTGCGAACCAAACTGTCCCAGGTTCTATTCCCAGTCAGGGTCCATGCCTGGGTTGCAGGCCATGACCCCCAGCAACTGCACATTGATGTTTCTCTCTCTTTTTCCCTCCCTTCCCGCTCTTAAAATAAATAAATAAAATCATTTTTAAAAATCTGGATGTCTACTTAAAAAAAAGAGAGGAAAACATCTCACTTCCCTCAGACAGTAAAAAATGCAGGAATGAAAACAATGGGAAAATGTGTCTTTTAACCACTCTGAATCCTCTTTCTGAAGACCGAGGGACTGCTTCAGTCCTGGGAACAAGCTATGTCAAGCTTAGTGTCCTTCCCACCTCTTCTCCAGCCTCCCTAAAATGTTCAAGGGCACTAGCTAATGAAACAGCTCACTTTTGAGCACATTCCAGGAATGCAGTAGTCACCAAAAAAAATTGTTTTAAAAATAAATGTATTTGCCGGTAGACAAAAAACTGTTTCTAAAAGTTATGAGTGTGTTCATAAATTTGTCCATCTAAAGCATGCTATAAGTGGGACAGGAGGTGTGACATGTTAAAGAAATATTAAGAATCTTCCTTGTTTATGCCGGAACCATGACCTTTTATTATAAAAATAAAATATAAGTTTACTGTCTCCCAGGGAAAACGAGACCTACTCCACAGAAGACTAAGTAACATTTTTTAACTCAGCACCTGTAAACACTGATCATTTCCTTGCAGAAGAACTGGCTATCCTCCCAGAAGGAACGGTTAGTCATTCAAGTGGGGGAAAGGCCCTTGACATGTAACCACTTTTGTCTAAAACATATTTGAGCAGAACCCCCCTCATCCTCCCCATTTTCCTTGCAAATTTTGAACGTAGAACCTACCAGGTCCTAAGAACAACAGGGCAGTTAACTTGCTGCTCAAGCTCATTGCAGCTTGCAAAAACAGCAGAGAGCCTGTCTTTCCAAGCAGAGAAAAAATGGCACTTTTAAAGTTGAGACTATTTTTCAGCTGCGGATTAGAACCAAACTTCATTCACACTGCTCCCTACTTGTTGCAAACTAGAAAGCCACGGGTTAAGGGCTAAAAGCCAAAAAGAGCCCTTCCAGAAAGGCAAAAATAAAACCCTCAAAACTAAACAGAAAAAGTAATAGAAAAGTTAAAAGACTGTTTATTTACCATTCCCAAGCTAAGCAAATTATTAAAGAAGGCCTTGACTGTCAAGCCCTTACTAAGGCATCTCCATCCATGGGAGTTAATCCTCCAGGACTAAGTTCTCAAATGATTTGGCAAACAGATGTCACTCATTACTCTCCCTTTGGAAAATACAAATACATTCATATTTCTATTGATACTTACTCTGATGCACTACATGCATCTACTCTAACAGGAGAATCTGCTAAAAATATACAAGTCCATTGGCTTGAAGCCCTTAGTCACTTAGGACAGCCTCAGCAAATTAAATCTGATAATGGCTCAGGATATCTTGCCCATTCTACTCAAACCCTCCTTCAGCTTTGGAATATCCAATATAAAACATACATATCTTATAATCTAACTGGTCAGGCAATTGTTGAACGGGTGCATCATACCTTTAAAAATCTTCTTAAAAACAAAAAAGGGGGAGTCAAGAGTCTACCCCCCAAAATTTGATTATGTTAGCTATGTTTACCTATAATTTTCTAAACTTCAGTGAATCACTCTGTACTCCAATTGAGAAACACTTTCAGAAGAAAGAGCTGAAGTCATCTTATCCTCAGGTTTTATACAGAGATCTGCTGAGAGATGGTACTTGGCAGGGCCCTGTAGATCTCTCTTAACATGGGGAAGAAGGTATGCATGTGTCTCCATCCCTACAGGTCCTGTCTGGCTTCCAGCTAAAAGGGTGAAGCCTTATCATAAACAAACCAGACATCAAGCTCTGCTACCTGGAAATAAAAACCCATGAGCTAACAGACCAGGCAGCCCAGTAGAAGAAAACAAGCACTGGATTCAGGTGCCAAAAAAAATGCGGTTTATGGTGCTAAGTATTTATTAGTTTATTTTTCTGTTCTTATTGACACTTTGTATTTTCCTTTAAAGGAGCAACTTTATGCTGCAAGCAAAGAACAATAAAGTAATTATTATCAGCTTTCCATGGTAACTATAATTGGCCTGTGTACCCAGGAGGGGATTTATCACACTCTCAATCCCCCTCTGGTTCCTCCTTGTACTTTAGATGAAAGCCACAAAGACTCAGCCTCTTGGTCTTTGTGCAGAGGACCGAATGCCACTACTGCTTTTCTCCCCAAAAGTCCTTTTATAGTGTAGAACTGGGGAGCTAATTGGAAAGTACTGACTAAGCTTGGCACAACAATAGTTTCGGCTCTGCCCCAAGTCCCATATACTATGTGGTGGGAGGGGCCCAGTACTAGACATCTATTATCAGAATCATTTCTCTCAATCACACTAGCCCTTGGCATTACAATTACTGGAAAATGGGCTTGCCTTTTATTGCTAGAAAATGCCTCTATAAAATTTTTTTAAAAGTCTCTACTGGATGGGCCTCCAAAACAAGACTGGGTCACAGTTTGTACCTCTCACCCTTACTTGTTTTTTGGCAACTCCAGGGACAGCTGAAGTCTTTTATAATATATCAGCAAAAATTTATTATTTACCTGTCCCTGCAGGCTCCATATATGGAAGTTGTCTTACTCATCTCACTATTACTCAGTTAAGCCTCACTCTGGTTTATAAAATTAGAAGATAAACTCAAATATGAGTGCCAGTTAATGTAACCAGAGAATGGGAAGATCCCAATGGCATAATAGCGCTTAACAATGAGCTGGCCTCTTTAAGAGTCCGACAGTTTGTTGGCATTTTAATTGCATTTATTGTCTCTGCTATAGTTGTCCCAGCTACTGTGGCCATGGCAACCGCTGTCCTCATTGGGTCAGTTCAAACTGCTCATACTGTTGATGTTCTCTTGACCAATTCCACTTTAAAAATGCTTCAACAGGCCCAGATTGATCAAGAAATCCTGACTCAGCTTTGTGCAGTCGGATCAGCCCTCAACTGAAACGGTGAACGTCAGGACGTGCTAGTGACCCGTCAGCAGCTGACCTGTGATCCTGGTTTCTCCAAACTGTGTGTCATCCCATTACAATGGAACTCCAGCCAATACTCCAGGAGTGATATTCAACATCACCTAAAAGGAGCTTTTTTCTACTCATTCAAAGGGACAAATTAATAAACTGCAACTGGAGTTTGACACAAACAGTTGCAGGATATTCAATGCTTAACTAAGCAGGAGATTCTTCAAACCCTTAATGATAATCTCAGCTCGTTAAACACAAAACACTGGTTTGATGGACTCAAACTAAGACTACGGTTCATTGGAGCCACTGGTTGTTTACTGATTTTATTAATGCTTTGTATTTTATGATGCATTTACAAATAAATATTTGCCCAGGGTCCCAAAAGAGAACAGCAAGTAGCAAATCTTGTGGGATGAGTCACTGCAACAGCCTTAACAAAAACAAACAAAAAAGGGGAATTGTAGGGGACCAGTTTCCTTCAGTCTGACAAATGTGACTCGGTTCTGTGTGGAAAACCTACAGAAGCCAAGTGGTGGGCAGGAGCCAGACCTTCAGACTGAATTTTCCCATAGGAATCAGGCCTAGAAAGTGCACACAGACTGCTATGGCTTGCCCTTGCTAAAACTCCATCACCCTCGTCTAAAACAGCAAATGTTTATTGTCTATCTTCAAGGTAATATCCAAAGCCTGTGTGAATCTCCCCAAGGACAGAGCTAATCAGCTCATCACCATTCCCCTCTGCATGTTATTTTCATTTCCTTGATTGTACCTAAAATGTAAACAATAACATTCTATGTGACAGATAATACTTCTTTCTTTGAACTAAGACCTGAGAAAAACAATAAAAGCTTGTCTAGGCAAGGGTCGAGGTGCTCTCCTCTTGAGGAAGCAGCCATGCTGCCCCCTTTTTCTCCACAGGATGCTGTCTCCTGTGCTTTTATTCCCGTCTTTGGTCACAACAGGCAGACTCTGCTGACCAGAGCCCGCCACATCTGACATTTAACTTTTGGATCCATTTTGAATTTATACTTGTGTGGGATGTAAGATGATCTAGTTTCATTTTCCTGCACATACCTGTCCAATTTTCCCAACACCATTTATTGAACATACTATCCTTAGTCCATTTTGTATGTGCTTGCTTCCTCTGCTGATCATTAAGTGACTATAAATGTGTGGATTTACTTCTGTGATGTATATTCCATTGATTTGTGGTGTAAACAGGTGAAACTCTTTCGATCTTTCCTACTGAGCTAGGGCCCGTATATTTCAACTGCATTGTCATTGTCTACCCAGTACACCATGGGCTATGCTGCATCATACTACTAAGGAGGGACCTAACACATTCCTATATTTTATAATTACAGTACTGAGTACAGGAAAAGGGAACCAAAAGTCACCAAAACCTGGAGTTTTGTGAAAGTATACCCTAATTATACTGAAATATACAGAAAAACAGACTGCAAAAAACTTTTGTGGAAAGAATCTTTCAAAGAATATAACCATTGATTTAGACCTCTTTTGAAGGAACCAGAGATTGAGTGCCTTTCATTCCAATACAATTTAAGACCATAAAACTTTACTAATCAAACTCTCATTCAAATAAATATGTAGAATCTGTTAATGTTTATATATTTTCAGGTAGCTAATATAGTAGTTTATAGGATGAATGTAAATTTCTCATTAAGTGTATTTCTTTTTGGAGCACAAAACATTAGTGTCTTTATAGAGAATATATTTAGAATCGTACTCTTTGGTGGAGGTCACTAGTGGTAATACTGGTCTTCTTTTGCTAAGGTTTACTTTATATTCTGTGCAAAAGTAGCATGGGCCTTTAAATAATGTTTCTCACTCATCTCTGTTGAAAAACAAAAAAGACAGAAAAGAACCAATGTCTCTGTGATAAAGGATGCAGATAGTGAAACCTGAGGCTTAAATGTGAACTATTTTCTCACAACTTCTGTAGCTGAGCAGCACTGAAGGCTCTTGGGAAACCAGGGCAGATAACATAGGGATCCCAGAAGAATCACCTTCTTCTCCAGAACACGCACATCCAGTCCATCCGCCTGCAGGGGCTTACCTCTTCTATTTGGACCAGACTCCACTGGAGCGAAAACTCTACTGCACTGACACAGGTATCGCCAACTATATCTATAGCTGTGGCTCTCAGTGCATATCACTGTTATTACTGCCACCCGATTTCCTATACAGAACACAGAGAATAGGTTGTTTTTCAAAGTAATCATAACTTCAATCTTGTAGGCAAATGAGCTGAACCATTCAAGTTCAAAAATTACCTTACAAATGAATTACTTCCTATACAGTTTTCTTAGTTTAACATGGAATATAACTGATGGTTTCTTGGTATATCTGTTGAATTAGCCAAATGCAACAATAGGGTAAATGGTCATAACAAAGAGGACAAAATATGAGAAAATAAGGAAATATTTTATTTAGTACTAAATATAATTTAGTAATTATTCTTCTCTGTATACTAAGATGGTTTTCTAGTTAACATCTACCTCTGAACTTTGCTAATTTATGTGATATATATTCACATTACTGATATATTGCAGACTTGGTAAAAACTATTTAAAGGCATTATAAATGTATGCCTGTAAATCATATTTTCTTATGAGATGTTATCTTGTGGTAAATGATCAAAAGGTATAGTGAATATTATTAACACACAGAGGCCTATATATTTTAGTCACATCATAAAAGATAAGTGGAGCATAATGCTGAGAAAATAAAACGAAGCTATGAGTGTTTAAGTTGATGATACACAGGGAAACTGGTGAGATTAAGAATTTAACATATTTTTTCAGTAAACAGAATTTTATTTCTATACATTTCTTTGTTGATTACTGAGATAATACTTAAAATGCTTGAAACAAATTAATTAAATTTTTAACATTTTCAAGTAAATTTGCTATTTCAAGCAACATTAGTTTACTTTAGCCTATGCCTTCAATATTATGGACATAAACCACTCACCACATGAGAGTACAGCTCAGTCAACTTGTGTCCTAACTGTAAGACATTCATTCTTAATACCACATTGGAAGAGATGACAACAATCTCTTAAAGATTATAGGAATCAAATTGTCATTGAGACATTAATAAAAAATAAATATAAACAGAGAAAATATTAGGAGAGATCATAGTTATATTTGCTAATAACAACATGTAACATAATTTAATTTTAAAATACAAATGACTCATAAAATACTTCTTGGAATTTTTTTGGATAGGGAAAATTGTTTAATGTTTTACATATATTTTATTGACTATACTATTGTTAACCTTTTACATTAAATTAAATATTATATTTGGAGAAGTCCAGGCACAGTTAGTGAAATGACAATACCCAAGTATGTAAAGAAAAATGGTAAATAATAATTTTGAGAAGGGGAAAGAAAAGTACCTAAGGCAAAAATCTCTCTTGGAAAAGATATTGTAAAAGTAAAATCATTCATCAGTAGTTAAATGCTATGAAATGGCAATTTTAATTATACATGGACAACCTAGAAATTACAGAAACTGAAAACTAATTTAAAAAACAATCAATTTGTGTCTTTTAGAATTGCGCCTCAAAATTTTTCAGAGATGAATGAAAAACATACAACATATGTAGATTTGAAACACCGTCCTTCCAAAAAGCACATGCAAAACGAAAGTATTTTTCCCAATCCCTATTGAATCCTGTTACTATTTTCTCTTACTTATTAAATAATTTTGCTAAAGATATTCTTCATAATTCAGCACATGACATTTTATGTCTAACATCTTTTCAGGATTTTACCATTTAAAAGATTTGTGTGATGGACTTCAGCTAATCAGAAGAAACCAGTTACATAGATGCTTTTATTTGAAAAAAATCTTAGTCAGCCACCTTCACTCATGTTAATTACCTCCCTGTTTGTGAGAATACTGTAAATGTGAAGCAATGACCACATCTCTGTCAATTTCCAGAGATAAAAGAGTCGGTAATTTACTCAGAAGTGAACAAATCTACTTCAAACTCCAGTCAGACAAAGGTAACAAGGAATAAGTCACCCAAAGGAAAAGGTAAAATTTGTATAGAGGACCCCGCTTACATGTCCTCTAATTGTGTAGCCTGTGTGAATGTAATTCAACTAGCATTAGTCACAAACCACTGCTCACTGTAACTGAGTTAGCCTGCCCAGTTTCATGAGGATTTTTAACCTGTATTTCATTTCTATACTGCTTCAGAGAAAGCAGTGTGGAAAATTAAATCCACATTTAGTATATTCCAGGGAATTAATGTAGTTTGGGTGCTGTGTACGCATGTGCATAACTGACCAACTCAGGTAGGAAAATTATTTCTTTTCAGCTTGTTTGGAAACAATTGTGAATCTCCTGATATCACTATCATTCTACAAACTTGCAGGAAACAGAATTTCATGAACATTACTTTATATGTGTTTGTGATTTTAATTTCTTATATGCAGTAGCTGAGGTTAATCATAATATTGAGTAACAGTAGTAAGTAAGGCTTCAAAAAGAACATTTTTATATGGTGGATGTAGCATCCAGCAAACTCGAGAACAAATATCGGAGACTTTCAGGGTATCAAAGATGTTACTTTATTGGCCAAGTTTAACCTGCGCAGGGGCGAACTGTTAAAGTGTCCAGCGACACAGTGCCCACAAGGAGCTGCAAAGGAGAGCCGCGCCGAGCGCGTACAACTACGTTCTTATATATGGGCAGGCAAGCAAGCTTTATACAGAAGCAGACGTGGCAGTTAGTAATTCGCTTACAAAGACCGCGCGCCGGAATTTCAAACCAAGCATTCTTTCATAAGGCGGGAAGGCAGGATGTTTGTTCATTAACCTAGTAATCTCCTGGCTCTAGCTAGCTAGTTTTCTATTTTCTCATTAAAAAACTACAAAGCACTGCTTATCTAGCCTACCCAGGGGAGAGCGTCTGCTAGACACGGGATGTTTGCTTTAACTGTACTCTGTCTCTTTTATCATTTCTTTTCAGCTACAATGTGGTTCTTGTCTATTAAGGTGAAAATTTACTTCTTAATTTCCTTGTTCCCAACAGTGGAAAGCAATTGATATTACCAAAATAAGAAATATCTTCTGAGAGTGGATCAATAAAAGTGATATATATACATATACTTTAGAAGTGTATTTGCAGTTTTAACACCAAGTCTATATATCTAATATTCCACTTTGTATTCATAAATCATTTCGATGACACAGGGGATAATTTTGGTAAAGTTAGACTATGCGACATCCCTAAGAGAAACAAAACAAAGAGAAAAAGGAGTAGAATGCAGGCATCTAATTTTCCAGTCATTGCTGTTTCACATTGTTTAGTACCATACTCAATTGATAATTTCAAGTTTGAACACATCCAAGAGGTAGGGTCTTGAATTTCTCAAAAGTGCCCCCCTGAACTTTGCTTTTTATTTCAGTCTTGCCTTTGCTGAGTTACTCAATCTCTCTCTTTTATCTCTGAGCAGCATCTTCAGTCCCCTTTACCTGGTGTCTCACTGTTGTGATCCTTGGAATCTTTTGTTTCTTTCTCCATGTAACAACTGGAATTTTGGGACTCATGGGTAAGTTCAACCAGCCCTGTGCCCTGAACTGTGTAGCTTGTGCCTTAGGACTTACTTCTCTACTAGTATTTCTTTCCTGCTAGTTCCATTGTTATGATCACCACTTCTATACAAGAAACCCTTCCACCTTCACCACTAAAGTGATCACTTGGCCAGTTCAAAGTTCTTGAAAACTTCTCACTTCTTCTTTACTCACAAATACTGGGTCATATTCAGGACATGACCAGGAAAGCTCTGTTGAGGTGTTTGTGATGGTCGATCATGCTGTGTGCACATTAATTTTCACTCTCCTCTCTGATGCCTTCTTACAAGAAACTGTCAGCCTCCTTGGTTTCACCATTGAATCTTCAGTCTGCAGCTCAAATTTACTTTGTAAATAGTTTATTCTTCTAAAGACCTACTACAATACAACAGTATATTCCCTCTATGCTATTGAAATTGCCTCCTAAATTATCTTAAAGTGAACAGACTTCAAAATACTCTTCTCCAAGTATCTCTGACCATGTATCAAAATGCCAAGAAATCACTAGAGATATTACATTTCTACTGAATTATGTAAAAACTCCATTTCTTATGTTTGCTTTCATAATTTTCATCTTTTTCAGTCAAATACTTTTAAGTTTAAATTCTCATGACCAAATTAACTGCAATAACTCTAGCTCACTTGCTGTTACCCTTGTGTTCTCTAAGTTTCTCTGTCACAGCACATATGTCTGTATGCCATTTCCTCTCACGTAAGACATTGTGTGTGACTCAAAAATGAGTAACCAACAAGTCTTTCATTAAAGGCAGTTATAGTCATATACAGTGTATATAATTCTCTGTGTATATTTTTTAAAAAGCACCAACTTGTATCATGGCCTTGACTCTTATGTATCTGGTTTGCAAATTAAACTCTTTGATTTGAGTGTGTGTATGAAATTTATTGACATATAATTTGCCTATACAATTCCCCTATTTACATTGTAATATTCAATGGCTTTTTATACATTCAGATAGTAAAGTCATAATTGTCATCAATATAGAACATTTTTATTCATGTAAAAAGCAACCCTATATGCATTAGCACTTGTTTCCTTTCAAATTAAGCAGCCTGAAACAATCACTAATCTACCTTCGATCTCCATTAATTTTCCTTTTCTGAGCATCTTATAAAATGTGTTATTTCAATTAATGTAATGTTTCCATGGTTCTTGGATGATGGAATGTATCAGTATGACCTTGCTTTTAAACATCCAAAAATATTCTATTGTATGGTGTGGATATAATATTGTGTACATTATTCTTATCAGATATAGATTTTCAAATGTTTTCTTCCATCCTTTTGGTTATCTCTTCACTCTCTTGATGTTATCTTTTAATGCACCAAAGCTTGTAAATGTGAAGTCTTGCTGCTGTGTCTCACTACTCTAGAGCTCACCTTGCCAGCCAGTCTCTGCTGAGTTCTGCAGCAACACCGAATTACTTGTGTCACCAGACATGCATTAACCTACAGTCTTCCCCTCACAGTGAGTGAGTTTCTTCAAACCCGAACCTTTGCAT